CGCTACACTTCCAGGCTGCAGCACCACAGGGGATGTGTGCGACTGAGAGCGTGGACCATTCTTCAGGATCCAACATCAGAACTGCTCATCCTACAACAATTTCCTGATTAACGCCCCCCTCCCCCATCACTCCCGCTAGGCCAGAGTCTGCCTGCATTAGGAACACAGGGTGCTCAAATCCCAAGTTAGCTGTGGCAGCCATCCTGCCCTCCCACAAGACCCCCGCTCTGCAGTTCAGCCTGCAACCGAAATTGCTCCTAAGAAATCAAAAGGCTCTGGGCAGGGGAATCTGCACGAGGCGCACAGGCAGGAAGCAGAGCTGAACTGCTGACAACAAGAATAGAAACAGGAAACGAGCCCAGCACTGAGCACAGCACAATCTGCTGCCAGCTCTTGCGAAGCTGAGCCGCCCCAGCAGCACTGTGGGGTTTCTGCAGGGACCCCTCCCTGAAGGCAGAGCACTTGGGGCAGCCTGGAGCTGGCCCAGTTGCACGCAGGCAAGGAGCTCTTCCAAGGTGCTTGGGTGAGTTCGGCTGAGACCCAGAGGAGATGAGAGTGGCTGCCACTGGGCAAAGAGCAGAGCAGCCCTGAGAGGGGCTCGCTGCAGCGGCTCGATGATCGCAGTACCTGGGAGCGGCACCCAGCACTCCACAGACCTGTAAAGGCTGTGGACAAAACTAGTTTTTAAAAAAACAGCCTTGCTTAAGAAAGGACACAAAAACGATTGCCAAAATCATATGCACCAAAAGAGCAGAGAAGCCCCTGTCAGGACAAAAAACATTTGAACTCCACAGATCTCCATAACTTGGGATATAAACCTTCCTACCAGCAGAAACTGGATCATACCAATCCAATAAACACTGGTGCTTCAGGTCCTGTGCTCCTTGGGGCAAGCCCCCAAGTGCCCGATGTGTCCACTGATGCCCAGCCACCAGGGCCTGTAGCTATCACTAATCCCTCTCCTGAGGCAAGGACTCTGCTCAGAACATCAAACACAACCAAAACGTAAGCAGGAAGTCCCAGAGGGGAAAAGAAAGTGACTGAAGCCACTGAAGAGATTCAACTATAAAAGTTTCTTCTCCCCTTCCCCAAAAGAAATTGCCAAAAGGAATGTTTTCAGAAAAATTCCTTGAGCCCCGCTATCCATAGCAGCCCTGAGGTAGTTTCTCATTGTATGTCAGGCTGCTGCCGCGATTATTTCCAGATCAGGGGATGCAACTGACAGAGTTTGACTTTATCCCACTTCAGGTACCCACAGAGTGAGAGCTGAAATGACCTCCCTGTGAGACCCACAAATCCCTGCTACCCTTGCCAATGTCTCCACATTCAGAAATGACTTCAGAGGAAGAAATCAAACAAAAAATATCCCACAACTGTGATACCTTTCCTCTCCCCACAAAATCTAATGCTGTGAAATCCACACTACAAAGATCCAAGACCAGAGCGCAGATGCATGAGTTAAACACAGATCAGGAATTTGTTTGCAGTCGGTTGAATTCCTTCCTCCCATCAACAAGACACATTTCAGTCCTGAAGCCAGTGATGAACAAAGCTGAAATGTTTTGAATGAAACTGAGCAACAGTTCCCCAGTGGTGAAAAACACTGACATAGAAATGATTCCCACTCCACAACAAGATGGAAGTAAGACACTCAGGAAAGGAATAGGGATTCTCCCTCTAGCTACACAGTATGTCAGCCAAACAAACTAAAGACATCCCATGTTCTACTCAGCATCTACTTCAGGGACACCAGAAACTTGCACTCGATAGCCCATAAGACAAAGACCAAGGCAACATAACAGACCTGCTGCTTGCTCCATAACAAGATACAAAATTACTCCGAACAGTCCCAAAATTCCAGAGATTTTTGCAGCAGAACCGACTTCAATTCAAACCCAAATTGATGTCCTAGCACCCTGTTGGCTTCCCCTTTGCCCATGCTGCCAGAGCACCTTCCAAGTCTAAGCAGATAGTAATTAATAGCTGGAAATATTTTACTTCCACTTACTCAATATCCATGTTGCAAAGATAGAGGCTCCAAATAAACTGGAATACGACTTGCCAAGAAGAATTCTTTGCTGAAAAGACAAGACTGAGGAACCTCTTGGGAGAATAAGACTTATACTATGGATTACTATTCCTCTATTACGCTCAGACACAAAAGTCTACACTTTGCTTCTCCCATACACAACAGGAATCTAAGTTTAGTTGAACTGCAAGCCTGGTAAGAAATTCCCAAGGGAAACAGCAAATTCTTCAGAGAAATTCTTCATCCTGACTGCTGTAGGAAAAGAGTACCCAGCCAGGACACTCTCACAGATGCATTACTCTCTAAAAGGCATCACTGATTTCAAGCTAGCAGCAGTCTTTTCCCCCAACACAATAAGTACAACCTTCAGAAAAAAAAAAACAAACAAACCCAGAAATATTTAGGCTAGGACAGAAATGAAAGACAAGATATTTTGCTACTTAAAGATGTTCAGGCAAACCACTGGAGAGATCAGTAGTTTGACTCTTAAGCTGTTTAAATGAACATCATCAAGAAGTTTTAGTTAGTGACACAAAACTCATTGGAAGGAAGGGTATCTTGAAGACCAGGACGCAGGGAGACCAATGTGACATTTCTCATTGTTAGGCAGGTCCTACGAAAGCCAGCAACACCTGACAGCAGTTCAACAACTTGACAGTGCCACCAAACCAACACTTCCCTCTCTAGGACATCACAAAATGACAACTATGTCAGCCAAATATACATTTCTGCCTTTGTTGCTTGAAACTTCAGCATTAATGCCGATGTACAGTATTAAATGGGTGACAGCCACAGACTTGTAAAGGCACTTGGTACATAAATTTAACACTTCACAAATACATACCTAAAAGCAGCAACCTCTTTTTCCTAGTGATCTGTGTTTAATTAAAGATGATGCATCGTATGATTTGCCCAGATTCCAAGATACCCAGTGAGTGGTTCTCCACAATGCCCACTGAGGCTTGGAAGAGGACTTAACTCCACAAAAAATTAAAAACCCACAAACTATGATGCTGTAAGTCATACAGAATGGCAAAATAGGAGTCTAAGAATCGTCCCAAGTAGGATAAAACTTTCTAAATCAGACAGAATGAGTAATATATAAGGAAGATAAAAGAAATTGCTAACACCCTTCCACGTAGCTCCTCTGCTTCTAAGCACCTCTAGGCCACGTCTCCTGCAAGACATCCATCACTGAAACCAAGAGCTGATTTCTGTACACCTCAGAGGTCCTCTTTAAGCCACTGCACAGCATCACTATCCAATGCATTCTCAGTTTACAGATAGGGGTGCTGGTGCTGCCCTACAAGAGGACAAAGAACTGAGAAACACACAGGTACACACATACACATATGTACCATGCAGTGTTTTTTGCTTACTGAAGAAGATAAAGCCCATAAGCACGTGAGGGTTGGGTAAGCTGAACACTGCTTCATTTCCTAAATGCTCATGATTTGGTGATAAAGATATGAAAACATTGTGACTGTAAAATCTGTTTAATACAGAAAATAAACTTGAGAGATGGCAGATACTAAAAGCTGGAGCAAATTTTTGTGCTCTGGATTTCTCTTTAGAATATCTGAGTATCTGTTGAGAAATTCATTAGCATTAAAAACTTCTAACCTGGGTAAGTTCCCTCACAGCAGAGATGGTATCTTTCCTTCAACTGCTTGGGAAAAAGGAAAGCTTGAAAGGGCCAAACACTTTATACCACAGGCTATAAAACAAACTCCCACTTGGTGCTGAGGAGCCACTTCTGCTAAGCAGAGCAGCTAATTCCTATAATCCGAGTCAGAGGGCGCTGATTGGTAGGACTCACGAAGGCTCTACCAACAATGCTACTGAACAGGACTTCCACCCTTTCGGAACTAAAGCCATTTCTTCAATTACTTCAGTGGCTTCACTTTTCCTACATTCTTTGCCAGAAGATAGGTCACATGGACGAACTTGTGGAGAGGCAGAGTGGAAAGAAACGTGCTATTAAAAACGCAAGGTCCAAAATTTAAGGGGGAAAAAAAAAAAAAAAAAAAAGGTGGTCCCATCAGGTGGTCAGAACTGGAATCACTTTGTATTTTGGGTAACAATTTGTACTCACAATCCAAAGGAATTATTTCAAGGGGCTCACAACAAAGCTGTTCTCACTGCTGAGTACAAAAATAATTTTGCTATATACACAGCTCACTCTCCTTTGCAGAGTGCACCAATGCAGCAGAAAACAGACTTAGCCATGGCTAAATAAATTAAAAAACAAAAACAAACAAACAAAAAAAACCTCACTCACTTCCTACTGGTTAGAAGTGAAAGTAACCAGAAAAAACAGAAAAATCAGAATCCAGCATCTCAAGTTGCTGTTGCAACTTGTGCAAACTAATCTAAATGTCTGACCCTCCTCCATTTCCTTTATGAAGTCTGAAGCCAAAGTTAAACTCTTCTGGCCCAAATCTGCTGGAAAACTAGGCACTCATCTCATACCCAACTGTTCACTCTGCATACTGGGAGCAGATTTAGATGGAGAATTACATTTTCTTTTTCGTTCTGTCAGCTGATCTTCCTCACTTCAGGTGCTAATAAACTTGTTTTTTTGTTTGTTTTTTTAATCAATTTGGTCAGATTAGAGCAAAAAACCTTAAATCAGCAGCATGAGGTTCCAGTGACAGTTCCACAGCCAACAAACAACCAACGCAACAGTGGGCTAAAGAAACAACAGAATAAAATAAAATGAGACACCTTTTCCTGAAGGTCAGAGCCTACTGTAACAGCAATTGGGTACTTCAGACACTATGAACAGAAACCTCAAGAAAAATCTTCTGGCTAGAACACACAGACCAGAGTACTTAGGGGTAAACTTTACTCTCAGATCCATTACTTTTGTAAATTACATTTAATCTCCAGTGGGAAACCATAAGCTAATGACTTAGTAAAAAGCACAGGCAGTCTCCATCATTCCCATTTCCACGTGGAATACCACCACTGCTAATTTATCCTGCTGTGCTTCTCATTGCTCTCGCCCCGTTCACTTGTAGAACAGCTCACCACTCACCGGCAGGCTAGAAGGTCGGGACTGAAGATTCAAGTTCATATCCTCTTGCCCTTTACTGGAAGCCATTGAGGGAGCAGATGACGTCTGGGAGCCAAAAGATTCTTGAGATAACTCCTGGAAAATTAAAAAAACAACCCCCAAAAAATCACAAATGGGAGTAAAATAAAGGCTCAACTGGAATCACTCCAGTATATTTTCACATTGTGGAAGAATTATGTATCCTCAGTGACACTTGCTTAAATCAGGAAATAGGACAGAAAAGAGTTGAAGCCAGACTACTGTTCCACAGACTGCCACGGTGAGTGCTGGGTGTAGAACTCCAGATCACAACAAAATAGTAATTCTTTGCCTTTTCCTTATTACTGATAGACCCTGAACAACACAGACTGTGCTGAGAGACTGCCCACTCAGCTTCTTGATTTTCTAACACCACACAACAGCTATAAGTACCTCTTTACAAATGCTCTTTACCTCTTTGCAAATGCTTTTTTTTTTTCTTTACCTTTTTTTTTTTCTTTACCTCTTGCAAATGCTGCAAGTCAATTAGAATTCCCTAATTTTAAAAAGCTACTTTTGACGCATTGCAACGTTTGCTTAAAGGTCTCAGCTAGCTTTTCATGACTATTAGAATAATATTAAATATTACTGAAAACAAACACAGCAAAAAAAAAACGTTTCTTATTTTATCTTCAATTCCCCATGCTTCATGTTTTACCTCTCCCCCTTAAAGCAAAGCTTTACATTTAAGAGCAAACTCTCCCATCTACGTGTCACTCTGAAAACTGTCTTTACAGGTTACGTCTCCACTTGTGTGCTGCCTTCTGTAAACGCCTGTGAAAAAACTCCACCCAAGCAGCAAGGAACCCACGGAGCTTTCCCATGCTCAATTCCTCCGTATGATCAATACACCTCCTGAAGTCTTGGGATCAGATATAAAAGCACCAGGAAATAGAGTTGTTTTCTTTGAAAACTCCGAAGTGCTCTGCTTTTGTGCTAAATTAAGTGGCTCTGCAGACCACCTGGAGATCTTCCACAGACCACAGTGTGAAAACCACGCCACTATGAAATCTTTTAGACCGGCACTGTCGATGAACAGCATTTACTTGCAATTGGTCTTTAGAACTGCAGCACTACTGCAGCTCGGCCTGTTACCAACGTAACATTTCTGAAAGAGATGCAGATTTACACACAACGGAGAAGCAGCACATCTATTATTGCAATCATTCCAGCCAGCTTGTCAATGCATACTTCTACTGGCTTAAACCCACCAAGAAAACCATTTGCCCAAGTTTCTTAAAAATTGCTTAGAGAAGGAAGCAAAGCAGGAGACGGCCTACCTGAGGAGGGGGGAAGCGTTGCTGGGAATATGCAGGCTGCTGCTGCTGCGGCTGTGACTGAGGGTATGAAGACGACTGCTGAGAAAGAGCCGAGGAAGCTGTCTGCTGAGTTTGCTGCTGCTGCTGCTGGTAGGGTGACTGTGACTGCTGCTGTGAGTAGGGAGGCTGATTCTGTTGGTGCTGCTGGGCTGTGGACTGCTGCTGAGGATATGGAGTTGGGGACTGCTGATGGGGCGGCTGGGACTGCTGCTGAGAATACGCAGGCTGCGATGTCTGAAGCTGTGGAGCTTGAGACTGAGGCTGTTGCTGCTGCTGATAAGAAGGCTGAGAGTGAGGGGTCTGGGATGGAGTCTGCTGAGAATACGGAGGCTGCTGCTGTTGGGGATGAGGGCTTTGCTGGTTGTAATATGGAGTCTGGCTTTGCTGCCCATATGCGCTGGGACCCTGCTGTCCGTAAGGTGGAATCTACAGAAGAGGGTAGAATCGTACCAGTTAAGGAGTGATTTTACATACACACAGTCATATTATGCTCAAGAAGAAACAACTCACCGACCTGTGCAGAGCAGTTAACTGGGAAGATACATGAAATGTCACTACTTATGTAAGGAAACCTCCCAGACAGTATCAAAAGTCACTTGTGCATGACATTATTCTCAGCAGTAAGAAAATTTTAATAGGCACCATAACTAAATTTTTAGGGATCCCTATCTGACCATGCTTCGATGACATTAACATCAAAAGGAAAGAAGGCTTGCTCCACAAAAAGGCAGCCTTTTGTATCTTGTTAACAGTCCAGCAGGAAGCACTCAGTTCACGCAGTGAGCCAGAACTGACCTGGAAGTCATTTCCACTGCAAGAAACATTTCTGTCGTTAACAGAACTGTTAGCAGTGGTGAGTGTATCTCAGTCGCCTCACTATTTATTTTTCCCTTGGTTCTGACTCACTGCTCTGCTACTGCCTCTTGTGGAAGGAAGGACTCCACTTGCAGCCTCAAGAAATGCCATTTCACCTAACCAACCAATTCCAACCCGATGGAAGGTGGTTCCTTCAAAACACACAGTATTTTCTTGCTCTTCTACCTGCCCCTGCTGCAAACAGAGACTTACAGAACCTTGGGTGCTCTACCTGCTGCGCATACGAGATGCTGCCCATTGTACTTTGTGTCCTGCTTTGCATTCCCATGGGATATCTCTGGGGAGTCTGCGGCCCATAGGGCTGTCCTGGATAGCCATGTCCTTGCTGTGGCCCCGCCTGAGGTCCCTGCTGTTGTGTGTAGGGGTTGTTTCCTCCATAAGGCTGAGGCCTCATCTTCCCCATCTGATCCATTGGACTTGAAGGCTGCAAAGCAAATTGTGACACACAATATACACCCAGCTGCATACAGGCAGTGTTCACAATTTAAAAAGAAAAAAAAAAGAAGAAGAAAACTTCACCAGGTTGGTGCAAAGCAGCAGAAGCCGTCTGCTTCTTTGTGGGTGCTACAATCCACAGTTCTATTCTGAATACAGCATGGGTTCCAATGCCATTTCAAACAACAGATATCTCACAAAGAACAAACCCAATGAGAAGCAGTCATTTTATGCTGACATATCTCCTACGGCCAGAGGACAGGAAAGAAGGTGGCAAAGACCATTAAGAAAGATGAATTATCAATATAAGTGGCTTTTCCCCACAGTAAGCAGCAGTTTAATATCCAGATACTCCACAACAAGGTAAATTCACTCTGAAAATTTAAATATTCACAAGAAACACTTCTTCTTTCACATATAACAAGGTCTCCCAAAGCACTACAGGCTGTTAATTTACACCTATGCATTTCAATTAATCCATATCGGTGCAGTAATATTGGCCACACTACTGATGTTCATAGACTGCAGTTCTACTTTTTATTATTATTATTTTTAACATGTGCTTTGTGCCTGCTGCCTTTTGCAGAATACAGGATTCTAAATCAAATTTCCTTAGATGCATGAAAAAGTACTGGTCAGCCTTGAATGTCAAGTCCGTAAGTCTTGGAGCAGACGCACGAGTAAATGCAACTTGAGTAGGTCTGCCTCAGCTGCACTACCTCTGCCTGCAGCTGAGACATAGGAACAGTCAACCAAATTTCCTGAAAATACTGTAAGCCCCAAAACACAATGCTGCTACTTAGGCAGCAGCATTACTACGCTAAAGCAAGACCTGCCATCAGCCTGCTTTGGCACAGTGACCTCTAAATGAATCCCAGCCATAGTCTTTAACCTCCATCACTCCCAGGGAATAAGGAATTTCACTGATCTCCTGTCGACCTAACTAATACCAATTAGATGTTTTCTACCACATCACCATGACAATGGACTCTCTATTACAACGTTGCTTCCTGCAACTAGCCCTGGGGTGGTATTTGCAGAGATCCACCAGCTCTTGCTGAGATCAGGTGCTTGAGGAGTGGCACTACAGGCCTGCACAAGCAAACTCGCACAAAGCCAGCTCCTGCTGGAAGCATAAAGAATTCCAGACACTGGAACAGTATTTCAGTTATGTTTGCAGAATCCACCCTCCCAGGAAAAAGTTCATGCAGTATGCTACACTTCAGAAAATCCTACCTCAACAGCCAGCACAGCTTGAAGCCCCAACACACAGACCCTGACAGCATTTGTTTGACCAGCTGTCTGCTACTTCCAGCCTGCCAGGCAAGCCCAGCTTCGAGCCCACGCCAAAGAGAAGCAAGCAGGGACTCCACAGGGAGCTCGATGTACTCTTGTAGGGCAGCACGAGCTGGAATTTAGCAGAGGGAATTTAGTGGGGATGCAGGCAAAGCACCCCACAGATGGTACAGTGGTGCTACCACCCAGCTAAACCAGCTCCCTTAGAGCCATTTGAACCAATAAGGCAGAAATCAATTAGGAACCAGATCTGAGTTCCCTCCAATTCAGCCCCAGACAGCCTGCAGCACTGTTTGCCATCTTACAGAAGGCATTCCAGGACAACCGTGTGCAACACACCAGTATGATTCTCACAAGCCAGTTTTACAGAGATGCGACCCACCACACTCCTTTGTGCCTTTTTTTTTTTTTTTCCCACCCACTTTAGCTCATATATTGATACTGAAACAGCTCTTAAGAAGTTTGTGTTTAATCTTCAAGCTAACACCGCCACTAGAACTGAGGAGCAGCATGGGCTGAGGCTGTAGCACCTCAGAAGATGGAGTCCCAAGAGCCCAGGATCACCTGTGTCGCTGCCTCACCGTCAAACCCACCCAGCACATCACCAGCACCTCTGTGGGTTTCACCTTTTCCCTCCTCACACAGTTTTCTTCGCTGTCTTAAAGCAGTACTGATGACTACTTCCTTGCCCCCACAGCTCACTCTTCCCACAAGAAATGCACCAGCGCAGTTCTGCTGCTATCTGCTGGAGAGCAACTTTTGTTACTGACTGCTCACTGCAGTATCTTTTCCCTTTGTCACTTGTATCCCCCAGATGTTACCTCATCTTCACAGTCTGCTAGCAAGGACAGCTTCTCAAATACATCCCTGTTAATCCTGTTGCTGTTGCTGTTGTGTTTAAATGTGCACGCACCACATGCTGTCTCCTCTGCAGAGATTTTCTTGTCTGTGGTCACCCACAAGGACAAGAAACAAGGTGAAGACCCACTTTTCCGTGGCTCTTACAGGAAACACAATCACTGTTAAAGAGAGAAACTTTTTTTCCAGCTGTAAAGAAATTTAAAAAGGCAACACAAAACCCAGACAATATTTTGAGGACGTGATCCAATCATCGCCCATTGCCCAACAGGGTGTGCTTTCAAACACCACATCTTTCAGCTGTGGCCGTAGCACACAGAGATGCTAAAAACAAACATGAAGAGAAGCACTCTGAATTACAGCTTTACAGGTAAAATTCTCCAAGCAGAGAAATGTAAATCCCAATTCATGTCTTTCAAATGAAGGAACCATTCCGTACACACAGCCTGGACTTGCTGCTTACCACAAGCTAATTGGTCAGGGCCGTCCTGCCCATCTCGGGCAGCAGCGCTTCATTTTCCCCCTCCAAATCTCCCATTAAAGACACACATCTATTTCACTAACAGGGCTTTAACTACTCTTGTCTTAGCAGTGCCGCTCTGTTGTCAGGAGCACGCCATCAGGAGTGCCACTCCAATCTGCTATCTCAGCCCTTGTTGGTAATTTAACCACGTGTGCCTCAAGAAAGGAACGTTTGAAGTCAAAATACAGAAGCTGAGCTCGATCCATGAGCTCTCATAAAGACTTTGGGAGTGGAGGTGGTGCAGAGCTGCCCTGCACACCAATGTGTATGAGACAGAGAGCCAAGAGGAAGCGAGCCCGCTTAAGAATACTCCAGGATAAACAAGGAAATACCAAACCCTGACTGCAAAAGGCGGGAGACACTTCTCTGGACTGATACATGGGAAATCCTTTCAATAGGAAACCACAGGAGTAGATTACTGTGATTACACTTCAAAAGCAAAGGCTCCGCCGCCACAGAGCGACATAATTGAGATAAAGTGTTGCTCCTTGATCACTGAAGTCCAGACCCCCTGCTTACACCTCCTCGCATTCATAGAAATTGCCTCTATTCTCCCTTCAGTCTCAGTAGCTCCACTGTTTTACAACACTGTTAGGCACCAAAACTTGGCAAAACACAGCTCTGTTCCCAGTCAAATTCTAAAAAGCTAAGCTGTTTTGTACGGCGTGAAATGAAAGCCACCGAAAACCAACATTCCAGACAAACTGCTGAGCTTTCAAGAAAATTTAAAATATTCCTAGAGTAAGAGCTTGTAACAGCAAGCCCAAAGCAAGCCACAATGGCTAAGTTAAAAAGCTCTCTGAGCAGTACCTGCAATCATAGTGTCAGCCCCAGTGCAACAGCACTGCAAAATCCCACACTTCTTCCAAAGCATGCCAGGATGCTGGGGCTGTGAGCAGGTAGAGATGGGAAAGCACAGAGTGGGGCCCCAAGCAGAGAAACAGAATGGCAGCCAGAGGCTCTGCTTCACTGCATAAGGAGACAGGTGCAGCTCTCCTTAAAAATAATCAAACTGAACAAAATAAGTGAAAAAAACCCCTAAGCAGATGAGGACTCCACAACAAATTCTTCTTAGGTTTTCTCCTGTAGAAGCAAAGTTTGGCTTCTCCAAAGAGCAGCTTGCTTGACTTGGAGGGGACTTGCCTTACAGTCCTAGCAGGAAAAGGAGTAAAGAGAAGAGACAAATCCCACTTGGGGAGCAGAGCCAAACCCTCCGCAGCCATACAGAAAAAAAGCAGCTCTGACTTTCTTGATTTCTTTGCTACACGTTTGTATTTTATTAGGCCAGAGGAAGAAAAGGAAGGAGAACTCCTTACTGAACTCTCTGGTTTCAAATCAGCATCACTCAGCTATTGGCAAATGCGGGTATTGGCCACAATTGGTTTCCTCTGCTGCCCCAAAATAAAAATAAAAAGGCCAAAAAACTAATTTAAAAGGCACCGAGCTCACACCTCAGATCCAAAATCTTTTCCTGACCATGTCTGTTGTCCATTTTTTTGTGATAAAAAATAATAAAAAGCGTTGCTAGCTGTTTAACCGAGAGAAGCCCTAATTGATTCCCACAGTAATTAACCTGCATTTTACCTCGGAGAGTGGTAGTTAAGGAAGTCGGCACTGCTATTTATAACTCATCTCAAATTGAGGGCAGACTGCCTAAAATCTAACACATCCCAGCTGTACTCCTGTTTGAACTGGGGCCAAGGGAATTTTTTAAAGCAATCTTGGCACCGAATGAATGACACCAACAGTATGAGCACGCGTGTGGTTGTGTTGTGGTGACGTAGCACGGAGGTGGGATGGGAAGGGGGGCCAGCACGCCGTAATCCCTCTCCCGAGCGCAGTCACCACTCGTGGCTCCAGCCAGGCTGCACCAGAGACGCCCACCACAGCCAAACACAGGAAACATCTTTTCCTGTGGAATGCCTTGAAGTGAGAAGCACATGGCTAATCTGCATAAAAGCAAAGCCACGCCACCCTGCCAGGAAGGTTAGTGCTTGTAATCTCTGGCCACAGAGCTGGCTGCCTGTAAGGACTTGGACCTGCGCCTGATAACCCAGAAAGAGTCGGGAACAGATGGGCAAGGACCCCGGCAGAAACAGCGCGGTGCACGTGACTCAGCACATGGCCACGAGCACAAACCATTGTTTGGCTGCTAGCGGTACAAAGGAGCCGCCGGGCTCTGCCAGCACTGCTCCAGGGGCAGCTGCTCCCAGACCATCCTGGGGCTGCTGGCACAAGGAGCACTGAGGGGCTGGAAGTCACTGGGATGAGAAGATGCAAGTGCAGCTGAGGCTGAAGGCCGTCCTGCGAGC